ATTTCACGTGTTATTAATCGGGAGAGCTAAAATTAAGAGTTACATTACCGATATATTTAATTATCGGCAGTACAGACGTATTTCTAAATAATGTCGGCCAAATGCAGAGCTAGGTACAAGTAAATAAATGTGAAGGTAATACAAATAAATGAATGTGAAGGCATTAGTCGCCCCTCAGGCTAACAGCTGTCCTGGATCCATCCATTAATTCAACTAATTTGGCCCTAATCAATCATTTAACTTTATCAGCGCAGGCAGTGTTTTGCCGGCTAATTACGTAGGAAAGTGGCCACGGCCGAATAAATAACTATTATGAAAATAAATATTGCGAGTAAATAACTATTATGACCACTAAAGAGGTAATCAAGTACGACAGTAGACTAAGCGGTCGATAAAACCAATTCACTGAATTGATGCCTGGTTGCTTATATGCACTACTCGGCCAATAAAGCTATAAGTTAAATTCTAAATTTCAGACGAGGTCTTTGCGTGGGAGGCTGTCATGCAAGATCATTCTAGAAGGAATGTTGCCTTACTATCAGAGGGGTAGACCAAGAAAGATTAATTAGGTCCTCGTTCCCCCACTAAGCTATGATCATTTATGTTTTGTTATTATTCGTCAATAAACGATTACAAGAAGGCCGCCCATCACAAGCCCTTTACGGAAGCTGTCTCCAATTGAGGTAAGTTGTTTAAACTATCATCACAATTTGTCTTCTTTGCTTAATTCATACTGATTTAGGGAATTATACGGAGGCATCTTTCTTGAAAATCTACTGCAAGAATATCGAAGTTTTGCATACGACCAGTTTAACACGATTAGAATAATATAGGGATGTGTTCGCGTCTCCCAGTTTGCTTCATCTTGGTCCTCTAAAATTTGTTCTAGAGGTTTTAGAATTCTAGAAAAATGTATATCTCAATGCGCGTTTCGCCTTCCTTTTTTCTTCGGCTTTTGGCAATGCGATGACCCAAGTCTCTGAAGACTTAAGCGCTGAGATTTCTACCTTCTGAGATTTGATCAACAACTGTTGATGTAACTTAAAAAATTTTATGTATTTTGGTCTGCAAAGTGTTGATGAATAGATCATCAGAGCTTATTTCTAGCTTGCTCGCTGGGACACCCAGAGGCACGCACATGCAAGCATTTGCCTGCGTAGAATCAATGAATAACAGATTTTACATTTCTTACAAAAGAATCTATAAAAATTAGCTGCCAGTTGAAAATGACTGAAGTGAGCAGACCATTGCTTTACGAATACTTTATGTATAAGCATAAATATATGTATATCATAATCAGTTATTTTACCTGAGGTTGAAGAAGAGGGATGATTTATGGGCCTGTGGTGGGGTACCATGTGATGTCACTCGATGCAGATTATCCGAACTTTTTGTACTCCTTACAACAGATAAATTTCGCTGATTGAGCACCGACAATGAGCAACTCTCCCGAAGTTTCGGTGTGGTGCCGTTTCTCTGATCACGATCCATGTGTGTCAGCCAGATTCCTGAAAATATTAGGTAATTACATCATTAAAGTGCAATCGATACTACTGTAGCTTGTGAATTCATTGCTGTAATCGAATAATTAGAAACCTGGACACCAAGTTATCCAGTTAAAGTAAACTTTAGTAAAGCAGTGAACGAGCGCAAAGACAAATATTTCTGGTAGCCTTTTTTTTTCAAATCATTTTTAAGTTTTCAGTTTGCTCTACTAATGATTGCGTTAATTTTTCAAAGCATTCATCGATTCATTGGGCTATGAAAAAAGTTTCGCAATTTTTAAGGTACTCGGAAACTAATTCAGGAAATTATGAAATTTTCAACCTTTCCCAAAGGGGTATTCATGGTATTTCTATAAGCTT